CATCTGAGCGCCAGTTCCTGATGTGCGGATCTTACTCTTCAAGGGTGATAGCTATGATCCAAGCTTCCAGACGGCCGGCGACAAACTGGATCTATGATGCCACTTGGAAGAACTTCTGTTACTGGTGTACCTGTAAGGGTTTCTCTCTCTCTTCTGTCACTATTCCAATGATTCTTGAATACCTCATGGATGGAGTGGATAAGGGCTTAGCGCCCAACACCTTGCGTAGACAGGTGGCCACTCTTTCCACGGTGTTCATCTGTGCCAACGCCACTCCATTGTCCCATCATCCTAGGGTCCGGTCCTTTATGAAAGGAGTCTCCAACACCAGACCTCCAGTAGTACACAGGTATCCATCTTGGGAACTACCTCGGGTTCTGCAGGCACTCACTAGGTCTCCCTTTGAACCTATAAGGTCTTCTCCTCTTCACATTTTGTCCCACAAGGTGGCCTTCCTAGTAGCTATCACGTCGGCGAGGCGCGTGTCAGAGCTGGCTGCTCTTTCAGTTAGGGAAGACCTGTGTACCTTCTATCAGGACAGAGTGGTGCTGAGGTTAGATCCCTCATTCATTCCCAAGGTGAATACACTGTTTCACCGGGCTCAGGACATTGTACTACCAAACTTTGTCCCAATCCTTCTCACACACTAGAAAAGCAGTGGCATTACCTAGATGTACGTAGGGCATTGCGTCATTACATTAAGAGGACAGCTTCCTTTCGAAATCGGAGGCATTGTTTGTCTCTTTCCGCTCAGCTTCCAAGCGACAGAAGGTTTCCTCCTCTACTATAGCCAGATGGATCAAAGCTTGTATCGCTCAATCTTACCAGGCTTACTCTTTACCTGTCCCAAGCCGCCTGACAGTGCACTCTACTCGTAGCGCTTCCACGTCGGCGGCGTGGCAGACTCAGGCGTCCATAGAGGACATTTGTAAGGCGGCTACGTGGTCGTCCCCTTCACCAGTCATTCGCCACTACAAACTCAACAAGTTTGCTTCTGCAGAGGCCGCTTTTGGCCGTCGGGTTTTACAACAAGCGGTCCATTTCAGCACCGACACTTAACCAACCTGCTTCCCACCTGTGGGATCATAGGGGCTTTGGTATGTCTCATTTGTGGATTCTACATTCCTCTACATGCTGGAGAAGGGGCGTTGTCTTACCTGAACGCCTTTTCTCAGCATGAGGAATGTAGAATCCACCCCCTCCCTGATCATTATTAGCAGTTAGGTTAGTGTCAGCAGTTCGGAGCCATCACGTCACACAATCATTCACTTCGCCCTTTCGAAACTGGGGCATGGTCAGACCCTACAGAGGCGTGGCAACTTTGATTGTTTGGTCTGATTGGGCTAGAAGACTAAATCAACCCATTCGTGGATTCTACATTCCTCATGCTGAGAAAAGGCGTTCAGGTAAGACAACACCCCTTTCTGCTTCTTCTGACAACAGAAGGTTTGCATGACTAAACTTTTTATTGGTTAACTGAGCTTGGAGGGACCATGGCATTCCCTGGCTCATTCTTATTTCATGACGATCCATGGGGTTCTTCTGGGTGTTTCTGGCCACAGAGAAAGAACTGGATTCACTTACTGTTTCTGGCATACAGTATATGTCAAGAGTGGAGTTCTTTCCTTATGGACTGTTCCTTGTCCCTTCATTCTATGTTCTTCCTCTATACCTGCAACCTGTCAGCTTGGTACTTTTGGATACGGGTTTAGCATTCTTTCAGAAGGCATGGCTATAGACATGGACATCTCTTTTATGTTTCTAAGCTAGTAATTGGACAGTAGTCCCAACTAAGGACTACCTATAGGATCAATATATAGAAAACCTAAATATTTATAATTCTCTTTCAATACATTCTTTAAATTAACAGAACAATAAATTTATAGGCATTTTAAAATTCATGTTATCTGCAGTTTTATATTAGTTAAATTAATTTTACAGTACTGAATTTTATACTTGGCTATTATGTTTTATTACATTGTTTAATGCTTTTTCATAGAATGCATTCTCGAAGCAAAATTCTTTTGGATGGAAGGAATGTAGTCAGTTGTAGGACAAAATCAATTAGTATTAAATCTGACAAGCCAAAGACTTTAATAGTAATGATTTTTTCTCAGTTGAATCACTCTAAACCAGAAATTGCAACAAGAAGTCAATTAAAATTCCTGGTTACAGAGTAAATTTACTAGGCTTTCTTTGCAATGAATTGATTTCTGATTTATCCTTTATTTTGTAGACTCACACAGAATGCTGGAATTATAAGGGAATCTAATCTTAATTTTGGCTTTAAATATAACTGAATTTGTTCTAATTATGAAATAATTGTCTTATTGAAGCCCGTATCACAATTCCCTGCTTCTTTGAGAGTATTTCAGTGTTATATAAGCACATAGGTAAAGTCAATTTAATTTGTCTAATCCCACAGAATGCCAGTTTATTATGAGAGCAGGTTTGATAACTTGAAGATCATAAGTTCTAGTCCTACCTTAAACACAAAGCCAGCTGAATGATTCAGATTCATTCACTGTCTCACAGTCCGAGGAAGAAGCCAATGGCAAACCACCTTGACAAATCTTGCCTAAAAACTGTGTGGTCTTGTTCAGGCAGTTGCTAGGAGTGAAGACTGACTCAAAAACACATACACACACTCAAACAATCCCAATATAATTTAAAAGTAATTTGGTAAATGGGGAACATTTCTTTATAGAGCATTTCTGCCAACATCTTTTTTAAAAACAGTCATTTCATTAATGGTAGATGTGTAATTTCAAAGTACTATCTGTTCTTTTTTTTGTGTGTGGGAGGGGGGGAAGGGGGTTGAAGTCAATTCTCCATCATCACCATCTTTTTCGATTTAAAGCTAAAGAAAACTGTAGATAAGAACTGTCTCCTCTTTAAATTAAAAAGTAATTAAATTAAAATTGCAGTTGGCATTGAAATACATCTACAGGAAGTCCCAAAAGTGCTTTCTCAAGAGGCAATTGGATTTTTTTGTTTTCTTTGAAGACGTTTCACTTCTTATCCAAGAAGCTTCTTCAGCTCTGACTGCATGGTGGGCAAGTGAAGGATTTATATTCCTTGCAGACAGCTGGTCATTAGAGAGTTGTTGAGACCCCTTGGAGGTTTATCTGTGTCCTCAAGGTCACCTGAGTGGTGCACTGATTTTGAATTTTGAACAATCCTCTCAATAGAGGGGGAGGGATATGACATCATCTATCTCCAGTCTACAACACAGTCCTTTCAGCAGTTCCAAGAAGGCTCCACACCCATTTGCACCATTCAGGTGACCTTGAGGACACAGATAAACCAAGTGGCCTCAACAACTCTCTAAAAAATGCAAATGACCAGCTTCTGCAAGGAATATAAATCCTTCGCTTGCCTACCATGCAGTCAGCGCTGAAGAAGCTTCTTGGATGATAAGTGAAATGTCTTCAAAGACAAGAAAGTCCAGTTGCCTCATCTTTGGGACAACAATGACCTGGATGACTGAGTATCTCTATAGATATCTACAGGAAGCTAAATTGGTTCCAAATTCAAAGATGCTAATATATTTTGGAAGCTGTGCATTTAGAAAGGAGAAAAACAGGAAAGTGGTAAAAGCTGACAAATAGATTTGTCCATTTATTTATTAAATTTCTATCTTATCTTTCCTCCAGAAGACTGAAGTACAAGGGCAAGAAGAGGGACACATAGTTTAATCTGGCCAGAATAATCTAGTTGTCTCCAAATAGGTGATTCTATGTATACTATTTGTGTTCCTTTTGGAATTTGTATTGAGGACCCTTGGAACTTGGTGATTCTTACTATTATTCATAGAAATGGACAGCCTGTGTCCCAGAGCCTTCATATGATATTGTTGCCTAAATTTTGTTAGTTTCATTATTGCATTTCCTAGAGGTAAAGGTGAGGATAGAAGCTGGAGCCTTCTAGAAACAAACTGTGGCAATCCGGAGCTGTTTGGAGGGGAGGCAAAAAAGAGTGGAACTGCATATGGGGAAGGGAAGAATGAACCTAGTTTGCCTAGTTTGAGCTTCCCTTCACATCCCTAAAAAGTTTAATCCCTCTGAAAAACGTCAAAAAGAAATCAATCCTGTCCCTTATTGTAATGTCACCGCCCTTACAATAACATCAGCTGCAGCCTTCCCATTGTGTGTGTGTGTGTGGGGGGGAGAATTGTATCCCTCCAAATTTGGGAAAGTTGCATGTCCTTAATGTAAGACCAAAAGTACTGTAGGAATACTTATCCCACACAGAACATTTTGCGACCTGTCTTGACTGCCATTAATCTTTCAGAAAATGCTATTTGCTTTATTTTCTCATAGTAACTCAGTTCAGATCCAGTAGCTGCAATGGTAAAATAATGACTTTCAATGCTTCTTTGTTTTGTTAAGTTATAATCTGATCCATAACTAGAAGTAGAAAAATGGATTTGTAGTTTCTTATGTCATTCATTTATTGACTTTCATGTTGATTCAGTTTAGTTGGCTTTTGTGACATCTGTTGTTTATGTAGTTTGTATACTCCAAAGAAATAACATTCCTCTTATAATAGTCCATTATACAATGTTGAAAGGGTGAAGGAACTAACAACTATAATTAATATTTGTAATTAAGGTGAGATCTGGAATTTGTGGAAGAAAGGATGCTGTTTTCATTAACAGAATGCCTCTGATGATGATAAAATGATGATTGAACCAATTTTCATTTATTTTCCCTTTCTCGTACAATTGAGGGGGAAGGTCTCCAGCTTAGCAGGAGAAGGGAAATAAGGAAAAATGGTTTCCCTCCCATCTTTCTCTTGATAAGAGAAGAGAGTCTTCTGTGGACTCTGCTTATTGGATTCAGTCTGTGCATTTTGAAAGTTGTCTTCCTACCTCCCCTCCCATCAAAAGGAAGGAGAAATGCCAAGGTAATTGATAGCAGGCCAGAATGTTGATTTAATTTCTCCTGAAAAATTGACTATATATGAAGAGACAATCATAGCCATTTGATTTCTTTCAGATCCTCCGCAACGAGATGACACAGTTGTAATAACTCTGGCATCAGTATCTGTACTGGCTGTTTTGATGGCTGTTATTTTCTTTGGATACAGGATGTTAGGAGGTAAGCTTTTATAACATTTTGCCTCTATTTTTCCTTGAGATAATGTTCACATTGCTATTATGTTTGTTTTCTTTAGTTACTTACTCAGTTTTGCTATATATTTTTTCTAATATTCCACCTACCAACTCCTCAGTATGTTACAATCCGCTAGACCAGTGGTTCTCAACCTGTGGGTCTGGACCCCATTTGGGGTCAAACGACCGTTTCACAAGGGGTCGCCAAACAATGCAGTCCGCCATTTCCCCCCCTTTTCCTTAGCTGTGCTACTCCCTTTTATTCTATTGGCTTTTGAAAGCTAATAGAATAGACTCTCTTGAATAGAGCCTAATTCTATTGGCTTTCAAAAGCCAATAGGAATTGTCCAGGCTGTCTCTGCCCTGCTGAGCCCGCCAAAAGTCCCATTCTGCAAACGGTGCTGCAAGTTGTCTGCAGCGAAGGCGAGCTGTCTGGAAGTTTCCACCCCTCCCTGCTGAGCAACTACTAAAAATGTAAGTAAAAGAGGGCCAGCGGTGGGAGGTGGGAGGTCGGCAGGCGCAGGGAGGGTTGCTGGCGTGCGTGGGGCCCGACGGGTGCCTTACCTCCCTTGGGCTGGGCCAGCTGGTGGCCCAGCCGGTAGTCGGCCTGCACCATCTCTGCCGCTTGCCAGATACGCCTCGGCCGGCACAGGAGGCGGCACCACACATGCGCAGCACTCCTGGGCAGAGAAAGTCCTCGACTTACGACCGGTTGGGCAGTTCTCGACTTACGACCGGTTGGGTAGTCCTCGACTTACGACCAGTTGGGGGTCGTATTAAAAAGGTTGAGAACCACTGAGCTAGACAGCAATTGCTTCTCTTCTACTATTAGACATTCACAGGAGAATACAGGGAAAAAATCCTTTTGTCTTTAGGCATTACACTTGAACTGGAGCACCTTACATTCCAAAGGATTCTGTGACAAATAGCTCTAAATATCAGAGTAAAGGCATTGAGTACCGGACCTGAAAAAGTAAAGTTTGGACCCTTACAATATTATCCTTGCCACATATTCCTTCCATAGCTTCTTCCTTATTAATGCTCTCTGGCATTTTTTAATCTTGGGTTCCAAATGTTGCACTATACTTGTCTACATCCTCATCCATCATAGCAGTAATGGATTGTAGGAATTAATTAAATTTTATTGCTATCATAGACTTGAAGGATTGTGGAACTTTATTCTTTATTCAGCAGCATGTGAAACACATGCCACGTGCCACATTTTAAAAGAGGTTTCTTGGCTAGGTTAAATCCAGCCACCACCATCATCATTTTAGCCATTGTCTATCCACTGCAGAATGAAGGACTCTTCTGCCTGTTTCCAACCTATACGGTCCTGAGCTTTCTTTTGTCAATTGGGTCCGCAGTACTTGCATTGTATTACTTCTGCTTTGTTCTTTTCTCTTCGTACGAGCTTTGAAACAAAAGGAATAGAAGTTCACAGACTCAAAATTATGGTTTCTTGTGCTCAAACAAATCAAGTTTTGTCAATCAACAACAGATCTGATTTAAAACCACGTTATAGTTTTAACTAATATGTATGCGCTTAATTATAATTCTGGATTCATACATCACACCAAGTCTCCTGTGCAGTTTACTTATTCTGCCATAGGAAGTAAAGAGCAAAGCACTGCAGATAGCCTGAGTGAGTTGACCTATATATCTCATTCACTGTGTGGTTTATGTCAGAATTGCAGGACTATTGAAATAAATCAAAAAGTTTGATCAGTTTGAAGGGCAATATAATTCATATCTTCATCTTTCCTCAGGAATCCGTAAAAAAGGCCTGCATACTATGAACATGATGGAAGCAGCAGCTTTAGAACCCTCATTAGATCTGGATAGTTTGAAACTACTGGAGGTGAGTTTACCATTTACAATTTCCAGTTCTGTGTCTTTATAATTCACATGATTTATTAATAACATTATGTAAGAATTTAGGGTGATTTAGTAAGGACAAGAAATCCAAAGAAGACATAATTCCTTCTCAATTAACATTTGAATTAGAACATGCATTATTTGGGGATGAAATTCAAATAATGCAAAAGAAAGGCTTCAAACCATAAAATGCTGAAGGTCATTAAAATCAATAGATTGAGTGTCCTGAACTTTAAAATGTAACTGTTTCTTTCTTTAAAAAATTCACAGCTTATTGGCCGAGGGAGATATGGAGCTGTATACAAAGGATCTTTAGATGAGCGTCCAGTGGCTGTAAAAGTATTTTCTTTTGCTAATCGTCAGAATTTTATAAATGAGAAAAATATTTATAGAATCCCACTGATGGAACATGACAATATTGCTCACTTCATTGTGGGGGATGAGAGATGCACTGCAGATGGACGGATGGAATATTTATTAGTAATGGAATATTATCCCAATGTAAGTAATTTCTTTTATTTCAGACAGCTGTAAGAAAATAAAGATAAGAGATACAATTATTTTTAAAGGATTATTTGAATTGCTTTTTCAATAATCTCTGGGTGCTATTCATATGGTAAACTTTTCTTAGAAGGGCATAAACACTATTTTTGGTCTTGGTGAAAATCACAATGGACTCAACTAAATATTGCTACTCATTTAGTGAACACACCCATTGTAGTTGGTAGTTTGCAAGCCAATTTTTGGGAGCAAGGTCTAAGAACAGCAAATGCAAAGCTACCATAGCTTTTTTGTCTTCCTCCAAGTTTTCTGTCATCTACCAGAAGTTGTTCCTTCTTCATCTGTGAAATAGACTGAATTCTCCACTAGCTGCCCAGGATCCTTAGGATTCTTCTGTCCTAGTATCAGCTTGAGAAATAGCCACTATTAAGGTTTAGCCCACCCAAGTCTAAACACAGTTAAAAAGGGAGAAAAAAAATACTGTTTCATTGCATTCCTGATTCTAGTTCTGGCAATCTTTCCACAACGACCATCTCTTTTCCACGGCCTTTTCAGTTCCTACTGTACAGCCTTCAGTGACTCCTATTTAGGCATAGAAATTGATCTCAGAAAAAGGAGACTCATGACGGATTCTCCTTCAAGTTTACTATTCCACACTGTCCTCTTATCTGTTTCAGAGCACTGTGAAGATATGGCTATTCAAGAAAGTATTTATAGATAATGAGGATTAGCCTGTCGCCATTGGATGGTGCAGCTGGTGCATGTTTTTTTATATATTGTGATTAATATTGTTTCTAACCTTGTTATTCTAACCTATGTATTAGTGAGGATAAGACCAAAGTCATAGTGATTGGGAGTCGCCCTCCTAACACATTAATCACAACTGGCAAAAGCCAATAGAAGATACCTTGGCATGTTCTGACAACAGTTTACATAACTTGGTAGCATCTTATCACAAGACAGAAGCATAGATACAGATGTCAAACACGGAATTGGTAAAGCCTCAGCAGTATTCCAGCAATTATGACCTATTTGGTCAGCCCCAACAATAGATAAGATCACGTTACAGCTTTATAAGATTTTTACCAACATCATTTACCAATAGCGATCTATGCCAGTGAAACATGGACAATAACAGCATGCACAGCACAAAAGCTCAATGTGTTCCATTAGTGTTGCCTATGGAGAATTCTGGGTGTCACTTGTCAACAACTGTGTCACAATGAAGAAATTTTCCAGCAGAGTGGATCTTGGAAATTGCAGACCATTGTGATGGAGCCACGAATGTGCCTAGCTGGCCATATTCTTCGCTTGCCAGAACATCGATGCCCAAAAAAGTTGTAGAATAGGAACTGCCAGAGGAAAAGGGAAGGCAGGATAGACAACTCAAAACTTGGTGACAGACACTAAAAGATGACGTATGGACAGTGGACATAAGTGGGAAGATGCCAAAGATGCCACCTGTATAGGATTCATTGGAAGAAGCTTGCTGTCCTATGCACATCATGTGAAAGGAACCAATGATGATGATGATGATAACCTTGTTATTTATGAATATAATATCCTTGGGGAACTGAGCTGCATGTAAACCATACTAAATATCAGGATAATCAAAATTAAGAATATCCCCTTCAGTTGATTCCAGATCACTGGAACTGTAGTCGGTCACATCAAGTCCATTCTGCATCTGAAGGTGTCTTTTTGCAGTTTCAGTTGGATCCTTGAACAATCATACTGATTATACAGTAATAATTATAAATAAAATGGATCCTGGAAATCTTACCAAATGGGGTAGTTTTTAGCAGCAACTGGACATCTTTATAATAAAAACAGTGTAGCAAAATGTAGATTAATGTTTCAGGATCTCATTCAAATGTAGAATCTTTGTTTGAATGGGATACATTGTAATTTCCCTTCAAAAGAGCTACTGACATGTCCACTGATAGTTGGAGGATCTGGTAGTTACCTTCTTGGTATCTTCTGTTATCTTCTTGGAAGCCTTCCACAAAGGTTTTTCCATGCAGTTAAACAGAAATCTTTTGAAGCCCTTTGATTGGAAATAAATATTTTAATTCTGTTTGGATCTCCCCCTCTCTGCAACCTCTTGTAACTATATTCTGCTTCCCTCGCTCCCCCTTTATTCTCTGTGATAACAGTAAAGCAGAAACTCTTACTATCATTGGAAATATTGATTTGCTCTTTGGATATTCATCATGCTTTCACATTTTACCTGGACTGTACAGCACTGTTTCATTAAGGCCAGTGTTTATTTCTTGTTTTCCAAGACCAAAACAAACAGTAACCAAAAGTGCATTATTCTTATTGACTGTCATCACCGTCACCCTCCATGCTTTCAAATGTTGAAATGGCATCTTAGAAACACAGATTATATAAACGCATGTGGAAGATAAACACTAAGAAAGTCCCTTCTTATTTTCTCCAGGGTTCTTTGTGCAGATATCTGACTCTCCAGACTAGTGATTGGGTGAACTCTTGCCGAATGGCGCATTCTGTAACTAGAGGCCTGGCATATCTTCATACAGAATTACCACGAGGAGGTAAGATAATAAGTGTTTCAATTCTGAATTCCTCCTTTAAGTTATGTCAAACTATGGTACAGTTTGATACCTATTGTTAAACATAGAATTTCATATAGAAATGAAAAAAGAAAAAAATACAAAAACCTAATAAAAATGACCACATATATTATTAAAAATATAATCTTAGATTCATGGATCTGAAAGGAATAATTTGGACCATGAAATTCAACTCTTTGCTTACTGCAGAACAGGTGCACTGAACAGTCCAGTTTAGAGGAGCAATCTAATCTGGCAGTTGAAACAGGAGCTTTGAGTCTTGGAGAATCTCCAAACTACACCCTAGTTCTATATGTGGAAGTGCCACCCTACTCAGAACCAATGGTGAAGAATCTGTGGCACTGGAAAAAACCATGCATTCATAGTCATTCAATCTTGTCAGGATTGAGTGTAAGCCTGTTTCTCCCCATCCAGATGCAGTAGCCTGTCTATGTTATCCAGAATTACTGAGAGATCAAGATGAACCAGGATGATCATACCTTGACAGATCATCAACAAATGTCTATGGAGATTCTCAATCATCCAGGTCATGGTTGTCCCAAAGGTGCTTTTTCCAAAAACCAACTGGCCTTTCTTGGTTTTTTTTTTTCCTTTGAAAATGTTTCGCTTCTTATCCAAAAAGCTTCTTCAGCTCCTTCAGTGAACGGAAAAAGCTTATTAGATGAGAAGTGAAATAAACCAAGAAAGGCCAGTTGCCTTTTGGAATAAGCACCTTTGGGATGATCATCAACAAGTATTATTGGTGCTATCTATACATTAAGCCCAGTTGTGCGTGATTATTGGTGTGTATCAGGCTCTGAATAACTTGAGCTCAGGTCCGTGGTTGCATCTAAATATAAACAAATACCAAAACACTCATGTTCCTCTTCTTTGTTGAGCCTAATTTTCATATAGAAAAGTATCTTTTTGTAAGTGGAAAAAAAATCATACATTCCCCTCTGAAGTTGGGACCATGTCTAGTTATACTAACAGAAATATTAGTTTTCATGCATTTCATGATATTTATATATAGTTTCTTAGACTGTAAAATACTTTCAATTACATAAGAATTCCCACTGGTTGCTTTTGAAACAGTAACCTTTCCAATGGCAGCTAGAATTTTAAAAATAAAAATCACAATAATTAAAAGCTATACCCCTCTCTAAGCAAAACTGAGACCTATTGCAATTAATTAATTATCAAAAGAGTAGACTTTTCGATATATAGAAAAGGACAACATAATGCCTCAAAAAGCTCAATCTACAGTTGACCTCCTATAATTACTTGTTTGGCTGTATTTCCTGTACAGATATGGATGTCGATACAAATTAGTTTTTCCATACTTGAACCAGAAATACCTGGTACACTGCTTCTCTTGGGGCTAGCTGTGTTATGTCAAAATGACTCCTATATTTAAAGATGGTTGATGTATAACTGTTCTGGGTAACAGTGCTTTATTGTGTATAGAATCCCTTTTCTCTTTTTTAAGGTAAGTCTAATATCTAATATTCATGCAGCATAACCGGGATATATTTCTGTAGCCAGGGGTCAAGCAGTGGAATTATTAAGTGATTTTGCATCATGATACAGGCATCAAAATAAAAATAAAATGTGTTTTAAAAATAACTTAAATTGTGTAAGAACACCAAATCTTTCCTGTAGGTATTTTGATGTCATGATATATTGAAAGTCTCATAAGATGTATGGCAAAAAACTAAAATCTCAGAAAAAAATAGCAATTTAGTGTTTAAATTTGGCCACTTAGTTTTATTTTTATTTTGCATAAGTTTCTGCAGATAAGGAAGTTGCAAGAAGTTCCTGAAAGTTTTATAAGAATTTGTCTGCCCATGCTATCGGTAGTTCTTGTATACCTGAAAAATTAATAGATTTCTCACAAATTTTAAAAGTATTTTATTATGAAATATTAATGGCTGAGTGACTCCAGCATAGAAAGATGAAATCTATAAATAATATAATATTTGAAGAGATGAATAAGAAAAAAATCTAGGTTGTTTCTCTCCTTGATTAGTTTCCATCCGTTGCTTCTTGTTCTGCCTTCAGGCGCTTTGGAGAATAGCTTGACTCCCTCTTTTTTGTGGCAGCCCTTGAAATATTGAAACACTGCTATCATGTCCCCCCTCGTCCTTCTCTTCATTAAACTAGACATACCCAATTCCAGCAACCGTTCCTTATATGTTTTAGCCTCCAATCCCCAAATCATCTTTGTGCTCTTCTCTGTACTCTTTCTAGAGTCTCAACATCTTTTTTACATCATGGTGACCAAAACTGGATGCAGTATTCCAAGTGTGGCCTTACCAAGGCGTTGTAAAATGGTATTAACACTTCATGTGATCTTGATTCTATCCCTCTTTTAATGCAGCCTAGCACTGTGTTGGCTTTTTTTGCAACTGCAGCACACTGCTGGCTCATATTTAAGTGATTGTCCACTAGGACTCCGAGATCCCTCTCCCAGTTACTACTATGAGCAAGGTACTGCCTATACTGTACCTGTGCATTTGGTTTTTCTTGCCTAAATGTAGAGCCTTACTTTTTTCACCATTGAATTTCATTTTGTTAGATAGCGCCCAATGTTCAAGTCTGTCAAGACCCTTCTGTATCTTTTTTTTTTGTAAAAAAGTTTTTATTTTCACTTTTACATTACATCATAAAAAATACTTCAGATAAAGAGTAAAATAAATGTATAGACATAGCTTTCGGTATTGCTCACCCATTTCCCCCCAAACCGCATCTACCCTCTAACCTAAGACCCTTCTGTATCTTAAGCCTATCTTCTGGAGTGTTGGCTATTCCTGCTTATTGCTATTGTCTGCAAATTTGATGAGTTCCCAAATCACTGATGAAGACTTCATGTATTCCTAATTGATATGTAATTATGGCATTCTTTAATAGTTGTTCCTAACAATTCCTGTTTAGTTACATATACCTGAATTGCCATCACAAGAGGATCATAAAACTGATACCATAAAAGAGTTTTCATCTGCTCAAAGTGTTATCAGTTTTCTTGAAGTGCCCATACTCTGTTTTATTTTATATGAAAAAAAGCCAATGGGAATAGTAAAACAACGTAATTTATATATTCAAACAGATCATTATAAGCCTGCTATTTCCCATCGTGATTTGAACAGCCGCAATGTATTAGTAAAGAATGATGGAACGTGTGTCATCAGTGATTTTGGCCTCTCCATGAAGCTAACAGGAAATAGACTGGTGCGCCCAGGTGAGGAGGATAATGCTGCAATTAGTGAGGTGAGTAAAACAGAAAAATACATTTTAGAAGTCCCTTCATGAACCTCAGAAATGTTGACACCAAAACCTATCATAAGTTTTACGCATCTGTTTTAAGAATAGTGGATTTAAACACTAAAAAATCTTTACCATATCTGCTTTCAGATAAAAAGAACAATGACCTTCAAATATATCTTTCTTATTCTGATTTTCATAGGCAAGAGTAATTTTCTTTTCTTAAATATATTCTGAAATGAGAAAGCCAACTTGAAACACTTTTAGTTGCTCATACTTTACACAACGAGTGTATCTTACTAGCCTGCATCATACTGCTGTAGGTATTTTTGTCAGCTTCAGGTTGCCTGACTACTAATCAAATCTGAAGTGGAAGACAGAAGATTTTTTTCTGTTTCCAAACACAAAAGAGATTGACATGGGGAGCATGGAAAGATGGCATGATCACTAGGTTAATGGGTGAGGTACATTTATGTTGACCAAATAACAAAATAAAATATGTTGGAAAGATCAGACATTATTTTAAATGCAAATAATAAGATTGGGATTCCACAGAATGGGTCGTAAGGAAGCTTTATGCTTATATTAATGCTGTCTTGAGGATGAAAGTGAATGTAACTAAAAAAAATTCCTGTTGAATTACTTGAAGAACAGTGAACAGTATTTCATAAATACCAAGCCAATGTAAGAATGCAACAACGTGTCTTTACAGGTTGGGACAATTCGCTATATGGCCCCTGAAGTGCTGGAAGGAGCAGTAAATTTAAGAGACTGTGAATCAGCTTTGAAGCAAGTCGATATGTATGCACTTGGACTAATCTACTGGGAGATTTTTATGAGATGTACAGACCTCTTCCCAGGTAATAGAAGAATTACTGGAATGCTGCATGCTTTTTCACTTACAACAGCTATTCTATTTGTTTATTGTTATTGCTCTCCTAACTCAGCCAAAGCCTATAATTCCTTATTGTAAAAAATTTGGGTATGTTGGTTGTCAGGTTTTTTTTTTAACTCTTTTTTGCTTTGCTTGTCAAATTAGTTCAGTGCCATCTAGTGTTACAGAGTGGTATCCACCTTTCTGCTTTATAATAACCTTGAACCTGTATTAATCTTGACAGTAAGGTTTAAGCATTAAGGAAAGACATGCTTTTGAGAATATTTGTCAGTGGTAGTAGACATTGGCATGTCACTCAAAACATCATGGCATGCCACCTTTGATATACATGTCATAGTTTAGTTCTGGTAATGAAAATCAGTTCTAGGGACGGTGTATGATTGGAAGCACCATATATCCTTTTTAATTTTAACTATAGCCTTTGAGTCACCAGCCTGGTTCAAAGAACATGCTTAACCGGTCAGTTATGAGACCTAATGGCTGCTGCCATGCACAGTACATTCAGTACATAACGTTTTGATTTTCCTGGGGTCAGGGCGTGGCTCAGTTTATTCTGTCAACCCAACCACTTGCCAAGTGGTGCCCTGTATATAAGACAGGATGGGTAACCTTTTTGCTGGCAGAGTTTCTTCTTTTTATTACTTTTTCAATCAGCATTGAATATTGAGCACTGAATATTTTGGGAATGAGCCCCAAATCTCCGCTTTTGGGGGGTTGTGGAGAGAGATATGTTGAAATAAAGTGGGTAAGCTTTATTAACCTTTTATTTTTTTTGGAAAGGAGCAATTTAATCCACTAATTCGGTTTTTTCAGTTAGATTTGGCCCTGCAATTTGCTAGAAAAAAAGTGTTGGGGGGGAGGAACTAGAGCAGCGGTTCTCAACCTATGGGTCGCGACCCCATTTGGGGTTGATCGACCATTTCTCGGGGGTCGCCAAACAAGGCGATCCGCCATTTTTCCCCCTCGGGGGGCGCCACCGCGCATGCGCACCGCACATGGCGCCGCCGTGCATGCGCGGCACGTTTGTGTGGCGGGGTCGCCGTCACACAAACATTGAGAAGCACTGAACTAGAGACTGTATGCAGCTTACTGGTCACATACTGCCTTCCTCTGATCAGAAAGATCGATTGAAAAATCAAAGGCTTCAGTTCTGAAGTCTGCCTTCCATGTACCATTTCCCCCCTAAAATACTTCAGTTTGTTTTTCAGTTGAACTGTAAAACTTATATGTTATATTAAAGGTGGAAAGAATTCTGAAGTGATTTATCTTGGTCTGATTTTTTTACAACTCAAAAATCTGGCATTTTTGAGGGCTATGTAGACTTTCTATAGTCACTGTATTTAAACTTCTAGTTCATACTGTAGGCTCTTTTTAATATAATGATTGTAAATGCTTATATATTAATATATATCTAAAACTACATACACATGCAAATTGTATGCAGCTTACTTCTTAGCTGTGAGTATAGTTAATTTTAAATGTCACATTATTATTTTTTAAATAATTGTTATTCCTAATTTTTTGAACTTTTACAATCTTTCTTTTAGTGATTTTTTCAAATATAACTTCTTGATTCTGAAATGTTACCACTAAAACTAAGCTAATGTTTTCTGCATTAGAAAATGTGTTCCATGATATATTCCAAGTATGTAGAAGTATTTTCATAAATGTAAGGTGTCTGTTTGGAAAGAAATAAAATTGACATTTAGTTGACTCAAAAACTGAAAAGCTTATAATATTCTTGATATGATTATTATATTTAGGCCTGAAACAGGACAATAAGTACATGAAGGTTTTTTCTAAACCCCCCCCCCTCCTTATCCTATATTTTGTCAAGAATTGAGGAAAAGGTGGATAATTTCTCCTAACTTCTGTAATACAATAGAGCACAATAGAAAATGATAACCCAGCCACAAATGATGTCATAATGCAAATCCTGTTATTTACATCCAACCAAAATACATATATGGAACTATAGGATTTACAGTATATAAGATAAACCATTAAAAACAACAACCACAGAACTGTTCCTTCATTTATACAACTCAAAAGTTATTCCAAAATTAGCATCCTAAAGTAGAGGGGACATGAATGTACCACCAGAAGGCTTTTGAAATGTTTATAGAATAATTAAGAATTTTGTTTAATTATTAGGTTTAGTTAAAACTTTCAAAATATTTCCAACTGTTTATATACCTTTTCCTTATTTATTTTCTGCCTGTACAAATTAATAAATCCAATCTTGTCTGTGAAGTAAGGAGAAACAATACAATAAATACATTTTTGTTAGACTCCAACGTTTCAGTATCAACCCTGTTTTGTTTTATTTTTTCTGCTTCGTGATAACATTGACGTGCCCTTTTCTGCAAACAGGAGAATCTGTGCCAGAGTTCCAAACAGCATTCCAAATAGAAGTTGGAAACCACCCCACTTTTGAAGATATGCAAGTCCTTGTTTCTAGAGAAAAGCAAAGACCAAAATTCCCAGAGGCCTGGAAAGAGAACAGCTTGGTAAGAAAAGCAAAAGATAAAAGCTACACTGCTTTTTCTTTTGAGTTGACGATGTTGTTGGAATGTGAATGTAGAAATGGAGCACCGTTATTATGAAATTTTAAGTGCTGTAACCAACATTTAAGTGCAAAAGAGAAACATAATGTATCTATGATAACTTATATTTTTGTAATGTAAAATGCTAGTTATACATTGATCACTAATAGGCAACAGCTGCAGAATTACAGTTTTCCAATATATTGAAGTCTGACATAACAACAACGACAAATATACCATTAGTTATTTGTTTGGAGAGTTTTGTCACATTAGTGACAACTAGTCATGATTTATGAAATCTTCATGATCAGTGGTAGCATACTTTTGAATGTCAATATCAAGAAAATATATTTGGAGAGAATAGTTTTTTGTCCAACATCCTGATTTCTTTTAAATATCTAGTGAGTTGTTTTGGGAAACAATGTTAGAATGGATAAGCCTTTGCTCTTATCCAATACTACTCTTCCTAGACCCAAATGTTTTTAATAGTCATACATGATCCAACTGTTGATCATTAGCAGAGGTATTGAAGAACAAAGGTTAAAAAAAAGAGATTGAGAAAATGTCAATCTGTTTTCTTTGGTAGGCTGTGAGGTCACTGAAAGAGACAATCGAAGACTGCTGGGATCAAGATGCTGAAGCTCGGCTGACAGCCCAGTGTGCTGAAGAGAGGATGGCTGAACTCATGATGATTTGGGAGAGGAACAAATCTGTCAGTCCAACTGTTAACCCTATGTCTACAGCTATGCAAAATGAACGGTATATAGTTCTGTCTGTCTGTCTATCTATCTATCTATCTATCTATCTATCTATCTATCTATCTATCTATCTATCTATCTATCATCTATCTATCTATCTACACAAGCTCCACATTTGTTTCACATGCTTTTCTTGAAAATTTGGTTTCATTGCAAGAACATCACATTTCTCCAGCACTTAATTTTACATATATAGAAAAAAGCTGTTTTTTCAATCAGTAATACCTTCCTCTTGCTCTGATTATTCATGAGTCACAGGCTATATTTATTGTTTGTTTCTGAAGTAATTCCTTAAGAATTGTTATCACATATACAGTAGTTTCATGTTAGCTACATACCTGGAAAAAGGAACCTGAACTCACTCAGTATTGCAGTGTTGAAATCGTGGTGCTCTTTAGGTAAACATAGAAAAATACCTTCAACTGCACCTATGTTCCTTTTATAGGCTGCCTCAGTATGAAACCGAAAATAAATACAGGAAAGCATTTCAAAAAGAGTTATATACAGTTAAATACAGTTGTGGTTACTCTGAAAGATACCTAGTGACATACATAGCATCGTTTGAGTTGAAAATATCCTTAATTTGGCACGAAAAGGACCCCAGCAAAGATTTTTTTTCTATTGCTCAGGAAGGCGGGAATTACATTTGTAGATGTTTCTTTCTAAACTTGGTTCTCCTGTACTCTGCCCGAGTTCTTTTCCCCTGATTTGCCTAGGCATGAATTTTTATATTTCAACCTCTTATCTTAGAATATTCTCTGTATCTTAGTAGCTTTTATTGAGTGACCTTTTTCTGACCTATAAATCAGGTATGTGGTCCATAAAGAAGGAATAATCCTCTGTAGTGATCCCTCTGTTGTATCAGAAGCAAATAGTGTCATTCCCTCATTTGAGGAATGTGTTCAACCTTCATTCTTCTCTGAAATCTTCCATTCCTTCAGGCAGAATTTCATTCCCTCAGGCAGGAACTTTTCCTCTAAAGCAGCGGTTCTCAACCTTGGCTCTTTTATGACTCGTGGACTTCAATTCCCAGAATTCCTGAGCCAGCTTAGCTGGCTCAGGAATTCTGGGAGTTGAAGTCCACGAGTCATAAAAGAGCCAAGGTTGACTATCCCTGCTCTAAAGTATCCTTACAGAAGTAGGTAGCACTCTCATCCAAACCGTATCTGGCAGCTTCATTAAATGCTACAGATTTTAAAAGAGTGCTTCAGAAGGTTTTCTTCTTTCAGAAGATGGCAACTGCAACTAAAGATGCAGCCGCCATCTTCTCTAACGATTAAATTGTCACATAGCCCATTTTTGTTCGTTTCTACGCCCCAAAGAACGAAACAAAGAACATTTACAAAATACCACTCTCATCATATTTTTAAAAAACTGTTTTAATAACATTGCTGAGAATGGAATAACTGATTTTTTAAAAAAATCATAATAACCATGATTTTACAAAAAAAAAAAAACATAGGCATGCCATTTCTAAAGAGAAAGGGAGAATATCAAGGAGCTTGTATGGAAACATGAACTATCAGCACTATTGCAATGCTCCCATTTGTACAGTTCCCCAATCATTATACTTCTTGGTTAAAATATCCTTTTTTGCACTGAAATGGTTTTAAGATGAAACTCTTAATCCTATTATCTTTTTTTTTCCCTAAAGAAACCTGTCACACCATAGACGAATGGCAAAGATCAGACCATATCAAGAGTATTCTTCCTCATCTTTCATTGAGGATTCAATTAATCACAGTGACAGCAAAGTGAAGAACATTTCATCTGAACTTTCAGTGTCCAGCACACCACTGACAGTTGGGGAGAAGAATAGAAATTCCATTAACTATGAACGGCAGCAAGCACAAGCTCGTATTCCAAGCCCTGAGACTAGCGTTACCAGCTTGTCAACCAACACTACCACCACCAACACAACTGGCCTTACTCCAAGCACTGGAATGACCACCATATCTGAAATGCCTTATTCAGGTGAAACAAACATTTGTGCTGCAAATGGCATGCAGTCATGTGGGCCAACTCCTGTTTGTCTGCAGCTAACAGAGGAGGATTTGGAAACTAACAAGCTGGATCCAAAAGAAGTGGATAAAAACTTAAAAGAAAGCTCTGATGAAAACCTGATGGAGCATTCGCTTAAGCAGTTCAGTGGACCAGATCCACTTAGCAGCACTAGTTCCAGTTTGCTGTACCCACTGATAAAATTGGCAGTAGAAGCAAATGGACAACAGGACTTCATGCAAATTGGAAATGGCCAAGCGTGCCTAATTCCAGATATTCAGCCTGCTCAGGTCTACCCTCTTCCCAAACAGCAGAACCTCCCAAAGAGGCCTACTAGCCTACCCTTAAACACCAAAAATTCGACAAAGGAGTCTCGGCTGAAATTTGGAGCGAAGCACAAATCAAACTTGAAGCAAGTAGAAACTGGAGTTGCCAAGATGAATACTATAAATGCTGCAGAACCTCACTTAGTAACGGTTACCACAAATGAAGTGGCAGGGAGGAGCCATACAACAAACTCTCATGCTGTGTCAACACAGTATGTCAATGGGACAGTGCAATCAGGCCAAACCACTAGCTCAGGAACACACAGAGCCCAAGAAATGTTGCAGCATCAGTTCAGTGGAGAAGATAGTCGTCTGACTATCAATTCAAGTCCTGATGAACACGAGCCATTATTAAGAAGGGAGCAGCAAGTAAGCCATGATGAGGGCATTCTCGATCGACTGGTAGATAGAAGAGAACGGTCACTGGATAATGGCCGGACCAATACCAACAACAACAATAGTAACATGTATCCAGAGCAAGGTGTTTCTACCCAAAGCAGCCAGAGAACGGCACCAAATTCTGGACCGACCCACACTAAAAGAGCACAGAGGCCTAATTCCCTGGATCTTTCTGCCACAAATATTTTGGATGGGTGTAATATTCAGTGTGAGTTCTGCTGGGATACGTCAGTGAATCCTGGCAACATTACTTTCAGAATTAAGCATGTTGATTTTAAGTGACAAAGTTGTTGTTTGCATCCTTTCTTTCCCCCCCCTCCCCCCGAAACAAAGTATATGTCCATTTCTGTATTTGTTCCATTGCTGCTTGCCTCATAGCTCAGTTAAATTACCTTTGTTCTTTCCAGTGAAGCGTATCCTTTCATCTTGTAAGCATAAATATGTGCTTATGCTTATGGGATCTAAAAATAATTTGTGCAGCCTTTTTTTTCACTAAGAAAACTGTGGCTTCAAGAACGTGCTTTAGCAAAACTGATTTTTTTTTCAAACATTTGATCTTTGGCTTGTTATACATTCCCAGTGTTATAATAGAGTCCTTTGAAAGGCAAAGAATTAGAAGGGAAATCTCGTATCAGTGTTTTCAAGTTGCATGAAACAGAATGCTTTCAAGGCTTGAGTAAACCTTCCATTGCCTGATAAATGGCTCATTACCAATTCACTATGTTGTTATATTCTAAATCCCTCTGAGCAGTAATTCTTTTACATTTGAGAAAGCTACTTATCCTGTAATAAGCTGCATAATGGAAGAACAGATATACATATGCATGTACATATTCTCAGTTTTAGTTGAATACCACCAGAATAATTTATTTTTATCTATATAAAATAACAAGCTTATTATCTTGTATCAGATTATCAAGTATCAGATTTGTATAAAACATTGCATTATTTGGTTTAAGATTTAATTAAAGAAGGAGTCTTCTTCCCAATATAGTTCAGTAGGAGCTGGGTAATTCCTTTGTCATGCAACAGATAGTCCTCATTTAGCAATCACAATTGGGATTGATAACTCATTTGTTAAGTGAAGCAGTCACTAAATGAAACAGTGATGGCACATGATCTTACTTCAACTTTCCTTTGCTTTACAGATATGTGAGGTTGTAAATGTGGGCATTGATCACAAAGTTGTTTCTACATCACTGTCATAACTGAAAACAGTCATTGTACAAGGCAGTTGTTAATTGAATACAACCTTTAGTTCAATGAAGCCTTCATACCAACTATGCATTCAATATATTTTAGAACTTTATGTTTGAAATTTCAAACATCAGAGAAAACCCATGATTTAGAACATTTTTGTGTATTTTAGTTTTTTCATGGCATATCAGTCTCCTTAGTGTGGTAGTTTTCAGAAGCAGAGCTAAGAGTTTAACTAGTCAGTTTAGACATGCAGCAATAAATATTTCAACAGAAAACTTTCATAGATTATACTATTTTTAGAGCAAAATAGTAACAATTTTTTGGGTGCTTTTCAAATTTTTTAAATAATTGAATGTTTGATGCTTCTCCATTTAAAACAATTCCTACACAAATAAATTATATCTTGGGAAGTTATGGTCAAAGTATTTGATATTCTTTGGTATTCTGTTGTTTTGAATGGTTTTCATAGTAATAGTGCATTCTCATTTGCAGTCTAGCATGAACTATACTTTAAATATCCTGTTTATTCTGCTGAGATCTGCCATTCAAGAATAAGTCAAAAATAATGCCTTAAATTTTTTTAGTTGTGACAATAATGCAAACATAACAACAACAACAATAATACTCAGAACTGCCTATATACTCAGACACTACCTTAACAGCACTTAAGTCCTTGATTAGGACTTGAACTGTTAAGTTTTTACCAGTCCCAGACTGTGAATCGAATTGAAGATTAAATCAATAATAATAATAATAATAATAATAATAATAATAATAATATAAACTAGGTAGTAAATTACTTAATCTTTCATTTTAATTATTGTACTTTGACTGAGTACAGTATATGATTAAAGAATATTTATCCTCTACTACTAATCACAGATTTTGCTCTTTTTATTGTTTTATTGCTCTTATGTCTATTCTTATTGTCTATTCTTCCTTTTTAGTGGGTGAATCATCTCTTGAGGGGAAATCCGGCTCAGGAGAAAAGATCAAGAAACGTGTGAAAACGCCTTATTCCCTAAAGAGATGGCGCCCTTCAACATGGGTCATCTCCACAGAACCCCTGGATTGTGAGATTAACAATAATGGGGGTGACAGGGTGGTTAGTTCTAAATCCAGCACAGCTGTTTACCTTGGAGAAGGAGGTACCGCAACAACTATGGTGTCTAAAGATGCAGGAGTGAACTGTCTGTGAATTGTTTAAAAGCTTACACAACTGACATTTTTGCATTCTGTTAATGAACATGCAGAAGACATTTTATATTTAAAAAAAAAAACTTCCTGCTTTCTTCTGTCAGTACTCCTTACCAAGGACTTGCTTTAAATAGATTTCAGCTATGCAGACAATTTTTAGCTTACGCTTCCATAATTTTAATTTTGCTCTTTTTTTTTTTTTACATTTTTGCACTTTTTATTTAGAATTGCAAAACTACATCTGTTCATCCTTGACCATGGAATTATATATGTATGTATCAAATACTGTGGTCTCCCCAAAAAATTTTTTTAAATCAAAAACAAGAAAATGTATTGCTGATAATCAGTCTGGACCGGTTTCTAAAAGTCACTAAACAGCTAAGCCAGTGGACTGTGGTGGCGTCTGCTGTTCATGGTTTGAATTGTATGCACAAATCATTTGTATGTTTCTGTGTAACAGAGTGTATTATCTTTCATACTTTATATTTTACACGTGTATTATGTTGAAATGTGCAATAGTCTGTAGTTCATAATATACTTTGTGTTTCCATTCCTACAATACATTCTTCTTTTTGGAGTTAAAAATGTCAGTAGCTGTGTTTAATCTGGTAATTTGGCAGCCAGTGGTTTCTAACCATGAACTCTGCAAGCATAATCAGCTTGAAATAACTGCTTTTATCTATCAGTATATGTGCTCTAAGATTAGAGTTAATGCATGATTTTTTTCCCCTTCCTTAAGATTCTTTTTAAAAAAAACCTGAAAGAACAAATCTTTTATTTTTCATACTTCCAAATTAGAAGTTTAATTTTTCTTCATAATGAATGACATAGGTTTGGGAAAATTTTAATCAAGAAAGTGTTTAAGAAATGTAAGAAATCAATAATTATCTTCCTGATTAGCGTGATACTAATAAATGTATTTTCAGTTAGCAAACTTACAGGGTAAGGAAAGTTCTACCTTGGACAGGTGATTTATGGTTTATTTTCACCAAGCTAAAATGCATGTGAGAATTAGAAATATAAAAACAGCAGAACTGGAGGGGGTTATGGCATGGAGGAGGAGAGCAAAGATGAAATCTCTTGCATATGCTTATGGGTGGTTGAATGTAGCCTCTTTTGTGTGCATTTGTGTGGCTGGCTGTCATTCTTATGGTATATTTTATGCAATTTGTCAGTTAAATATAGTATTTATGTATATTTTTCCTTAATGAATGCTTTTGATGCTTGCTGGAAATACATTTTTGTCTAATCTTTGTAATTTATCTTAAACACATTGTATACAGGTTTAGACCTATTTTTAAGTAGAAAAGCTAAAACCTGGATTCATTTGCTTGATTTCTATGCATTGGTTATTGTCACAGCCGAAATGATCTACTTTAGTATTGACATTAGGTTGCCTATATCTGATTGGCCATATAAGAGTTTGATGAAAGGATCCAGTTCATTTCCTCTTTTTTTCATTAGTTATTCTAGAATATGATTCTTTCTTATCCCAAAATCCTATAAGTCTTTGGCTGTTCTGACTAGGAATCTTAGAAGTTGTAATCCAGCGCTTCTGGAAATCACCCAACAAAAAGAACCATATAGAAGAGGCGTGTCCAAACCACAGCCCTGGACAGCTAGTAATGCGCCCCAGAAGATGTAATAAAAATATTAAAAAATAAAGGAAGGTCATTGTTTATATACACTAACTTTATTATATATTTTATATGCAGCCCAGGACAATTCCTCTTCACTTAGTGCAGCCCGGGCAAGCTAAAAGGTTGAACACTAATGATACAGAACATATGTAGAATTGTACATAATTGGCATGACTATTACAACCTCTGGGTCATTATCTTGAAAATAGGTGGAGACATTTGCTTAAATTGAAACTAGTATAAACACTTGCCATAGCATGAACCCAATTGCTATGCAGGTGGGCAGATTCATACAATACATACATATGTGCATACAACATAGCACCTAACATGACGATATTCTGACTGAAATAATTTTATTCTAGTACTATTTTTCACCCTCTAATGGCCCACTTTAAATAACTTTAAAAGTCACCTTGTTGAGTTCTGTCTATTATTTACTGTCTTTCTAAAAGCATTTTGCTTTTATTCTTCGAGTCATAGCATACCTATACCGTGGCTACCAGTTTTCTTTGGATTTTGGCCTAGATCAGTGGTTCTCAACCTGTGGGTCGGGACCCCATTTGGGGTCAAACGACCATTTCACGAGGGTCGCCAAACAACGCAGTCCGCCATTTTTTTCCCCTTTTCCTTAGCTGTGCTACTCCCTTTTATTCTATTGGCTTTTGAAAGCCAATAGAATAGACTCTCTTGAATAGAGTCTAATTCTATTGGCTTTCAAAAGCCAATAGGAATTGTTCAGGCTGTCTCTGCCCTGCTGAGCCCGCCAAAAGTCCCATTCTGCAAATGGTGCTGCACCAGTTGAGTAGTCCTTGACTTACGACCGGTTGAGTACTCCTCGACTTACGACCAGTTGGGGGTAGCGGCATTAAAAAGGTTGAGAACCACTGGCCTAGATTCATGCAATAACACATTTACAGAAAGTTGTAACCCTACCATATTTAATTCAAGCTTGTTTTTATTGTACAGCTATTCATGGAATTACATTTTCTTATCAACGTTTACCTTTTGAGTTATACTGAACTGTTCTGGGGGAGAGAGGGACACAGCCAGCTTTCATGGTGAGCAGTTTTACAGTTTTACAAGCTTTTCAAGGCAAGATTTGAGGTATCCGCCTAAATTGCTGTGCAGTCCCTAAATCAGCCTTAAAGAACAAGTTTAGACATTTTTTTGGTGGCAAAAACACCACACCATTGAGCTCCATTTCTCACACTTCTCAAACTGATTTCTCAAGGTAGCAATATTCAAGGCCAAGGGAAAATTTGAATAGTGGCACTTAAATACTTCTCAGCTGCCCCAGAGTGCTGTACTCCAAAAGGGTTTAGCAGACAAGGAAGCCTTATTTTGAAAAGTGAATTGCCTAGAGTCCATTAGCCTGAATGGGCCCAGTTTGCCTGGCTGCTTCCTTTTTATATTTCAAATATCCAAAGAGTCAGGGAAGAGGTGGGTCTTATTCTATATACTTTCTTTGGACAGATACCTCTCCCTACTTCCCAAAAACAGGAAATGTGAGGTGTTTTTTTAAGCATTGTGTAGGTTTTTTAAAAATGTGAGAAGCAGCTAATTAAAAAGAAAGCAGAAGGGAATATTAGTGCAAAGAAAAGTCTCTGAAAGTAGTTCAGTTCCATTTTAGATCTGTTTGGTATTAGATGTATCAGAATATATTGACAGTGATTGTAAGGTGTGGCTATTATTTCACTGTGTCTCACATCTATATAGTTCAATGACCCAAGTTTAAAAGTTAAAAAACATAATTTATAATATTATGTTTTCCAAATATGGTGTATCATAGACATTTTGCTCTTAGTTAACTTTGCACAGTTATGGAGGGGATGCTCTCTTCCTTAAAATTATACTGCTAGCAAATGATCAGTTGAAAAGTGTTTATTGAAAAAGTACTTCCCTTTATCAATATTTTGAATAAGAAAATATTGCATGATGAGGTACATTATTTGCCATTTTGTAAGAACAAATTTCCAAAAATGAATAAAATGGTGTCAGAATTCCATTGCTTAGCAAATCAAAGACAATTTATTTTTCTAATGTCAGGCTCATTGTTTCACTGTAATTCCACCTCCGCCCCACCCATAATGTGATGCAGGGGAAGGAAAATAGTGTGCAAGTTAAACAATTGCACTCTTAATGTATAAATTGTACAATAAGTGAAGAATTTTTTAAAAATGAAAGATACGTTAATTGCATTTTAAGTTCACGAAGAACAATATTAAAAGCATGTATTTTGTGTTAGGTATAACAAATAGAATAATTCATGCTACCTTTGTTATCACATTTGAAAGTAGAAAGTTATTCTGCTCAGTAGTCACATTTATTTTAATTGAATAAACAACATAAAATGCATACATGATAATTCTGCATTGTTCCTCAAAAGCTGTTGTAATCATGAATACCCATACCTTGTGGGAAGGAACACAAAATAGGTTCGTGCTTGAGAAAGGAATTTTTTCATCCACACTATTTGTGATATTCTAACAGTAAACATTGCACATCTGCTGCATCTCTAAGCACTACTTCTGATGTTTTTCCCCATTTGTTTTTAATATAGGATGTTAATATAAAGGTTATAGAGCCTATTTCGTCAAAGGATTATAATGAAGAACAATGTGTGTTTCATTTTTTACCATACGTATATAGTAATAGTAGTAAAGTTGGAAGGGACCTTGGAGGTCATCTAGTCCAACCCCCTGCTCGGGCAGGAAACCCTACGCTATTTCGGACAAATGGCTGTCCAGTCTCTTCTTAAAAACTTCCAGTGTTGGAGCATTTACTGCTTCTGGAGGCAAGCTGTTCCACTGATTAATTGTTCTCACTGTCAGGAAGTTTCTCCTTAGTTCTAGGTTGCTTCTCTCCTTGATTAGTTTCCACCCGTTGCTTCTTGTCCTGCCTTCAGGTGCTTTGGAAAATAGCTTAATTCCCTCTTCTTTATGGCAGCCCCTGAGATATTGGAATACTGCTATCATGTCCCCCCTTGTCCTTCTCTTCGTTAAACTAGACATACCCAATTCTCGCAACCGTTCCTTATATGTTTTAGCCTCCAGTCCCCTAATCATCTTTGTTGCTCTTCTCTGTACTCTTTCTAGAGTCTCAACATCTTTTTTACATCGTGGTGACCAAAACTGGATGCAGTATTCCAAGTGTGGCCTTACCAAGGCATTGAAGAGTGGTATTAATACTTCACGTGATCTTGATTCTATCCCTCTGTTAATGCAGCCTAGCACTGTGTTGGCCTTTTTGGCAGCTGCAGCACACTGCTGGCTCATATTTAAGTGATTGTCTACTAGGACTCCGAGGTCCCTCTCACAGTTACTACTATTGAGCATGGTGCCACCTATGCTGTACTTGTGCATTTGGTTTTTCTTGCCTAAATGTAGAACCTTGCTTTTTTCACCATTGAATTTCATTTTGTTAGTTAGTGCCCAGTGTTCAAGTCTGTCCAGATCCTTCTGTATCTGAAGCCTGTCTTCTGGAGTGTTGGCTATTCCTGCCAGCTTGGTGTCGTCTGCAAATTTGATGAGTTCCCCATCTATCCCTTCATCCAAATCGTTGATGAAGATGTTGAAGAGTACTGGGCCCAGAACAGAGCCCTGGGGCACCCCACTACACACTTCCCTCCATATAGATGCAGTTCCATTGAGGACCACTCGCTGAGTACGGCCGGTCAGCCAGCTACGGATCCATCTGGTGGTGGTTCTGTCTACCCCACATTTTTCTATCTTGTCAAGTAGTAGGTTGTGATCTACTTTATCAAATGCCTTACTGAAGTCCAAGTAAATTATGTCCACAGCATTCCTCTGATCCACTAATTTTGTCACTTGGTCAAAGAATGCAATAAGATTTGTCTGGCATGATCTATTTTTGACAAACCCATGTTGGCTTTTAGTAATGACTTTGTTTGCCT